CTGGCTTCACCCTGAGCTCCAGGCTGCCCCAAGGCAAGGGGATTCACAGGAAACGGGTGCTCCCCCTGCTGCTCGCGCTTGCGGCCTTAGGGAAGGCAGCAGCCAGGCTGCAGGCCTGAGGGGGCCCCTCCGCCCTGGCATCTCCAGCGCAGGCTGCCACCCAGGCCCTGGCTCCAGCTGTAGCTGATGCCTTCAACTGCTGCCTCTGGTCTGAGGCTTTCTGCATTCACCTCCCTAACGTTCAACTTCCCCCTGGATCTCAGGCCACAGCCCCCCCCAACCCCCCAGGGAAGCCCAAAGGAAGGGCGCCTGGGGGTCCCCAACAGAAACTACTCAAAGGCCATGAGCTCCAGGACCCTGGGCCTGTAACAGGGGTCGCCAATGGTGTCAGCACCACTCAGACCCCAGCTGGTGGCCAGGGTACCCACTGGTCACTGTGCACTGCCCGGCTGGCAAACCAGGGACTACCTGTGCCCTCTCTGGAGGAGGGACCTGGGCAAAGCCAGGGAGGGGGCTACCTACCAGCCTCTGCACAGCCTGGCTGGGAGGCGAATCCACAGAAACTGCAGCCAATAGGTTTCCCTCCGAAGCCACACACAACTCCTGGAGATCTGCCCCCACAAAACAAGGCTGGGCAGGAGAAATCAAAACAGTTCAGAATCTGAGGCAGTGAACAGGTGTCGGGGGCAAAGCCGCGTGGGCTGGGACATTCAGGCTTGGCGGCAGAGGGGCAGCCTAGGAAAGCCATGTTCAGTAAGTGCCGATGTCCGGAACTGAGTGGGCTGGCGGCTAGGGGAGGCTGAGGGTCCTGAGAGGTCCCCTTGAACAGGGGTGCATTCTGAAGTAGTACAGTCCGTCTGCAGCTGCCACCACCCACGCCCCGCCAATTGGCTGTGTGAACCGAAGGCTGCTGCCCTGTCAGTGTAGACCGGCTGCAGGCTCACTGAGAACTTGACTCCCGTCTCTCACCGTCCACCTAACCTGGGGCAGTCTTCCAAACACCTCCGGTTCCCTACAGAAGTTCTAGAGCTTCCGGTGTCCAGTCCATAAACCCCAGGAGCAGGAAGCCTGTTCTGCACCCCACCGACACCCTGTCTCTGCAGACCTGGCTCACATTTCAAAAGAATTACAACTTTTTTCAAACATCAGATTTCTTTATTTTTAAAATGTGCACATTACAAAAGGTTCACTTCCCTTGCAGATAAGAA